TTTTTTTTTTTTTTTTTTTTTAAAAAAAAAAAAAAAAAAAAGTTACGGGTATGGTACAAGTACGGGAAACGACTTTCCCAATCTCCCCGGGCGCATACGAGTGCCACGGAGTGAATATCATCGTCGGCAAGTTATTATTGTCACTCCCGGAACGGGGATTGAAACTCGCTGGGGTACGGCACCGATATTCTGTTGCAGCGGTCAGGGGATGGGACACTCCGCAGGGGCCGCTCGTGCTGGTTGCGTGCGGGAATGCCCACCGGATTGACACATGTCATGACTTGTCATATCTGATCTTCGCGATATCGGTACGGTACTGTACTCGTACAGTTGCTGCACTGTGCTGTTACTGTAGTCCGGCCGGCACCCTACTATCGTGAAGATGGTGGTGGGGTCCGTGATTGGGCTGTGGTGTGATGTTTGTATGATAGCCATCATGGCCAAGGTACAAGTTATTGTGCGAGTGCCTACCGGTATCCCGGTTCCGGAGTACTCGAGTACCCTACTCGCACAGAATCCAGCGGTGCCACGATTTTGGTAACGAGAAAAGAAGCGGAACAGAAGGAAATTCCTTGGCTGAAGATACTTTTTTCTTTTCTTTTTCTCCCAGGGGACCTCCAAAATTAGCTCCACCGATAGGGTGCGGTACAGTACCGTACTCCAGCATGATACCTGTATGGACTTGTTTGGTATGGGAACACTGTCGCACAATTGGGTTGCTCTCCTTGCCCACAAGTGTATCGTGCGGGAACATCCTTAATCACGATACTGGTACAGTACGGTACTAGTACAGTGCCCTCTGATTAAACCTTATCTTTGCCGGGGGAATTTTACTTGTGATAATTCTGAGGCTTCAGGATCTGATGTTCTTGGCGTGTTCCTATTGTATCATACCGTACTCGAGTATTCCATCCCCCCACCCCTTTTTGGCGGCGGCGGCGGCGGCGGCCAAGAGATCTCGATTTCCAGGGAAGAGGTTTTCTGGGCCGCTTGTAAGGTACGAGTACGGTACCGGGACCTTGCCCTGCATAAGAGCACGCGAAAGTGTCTGCCGTATCTCTGCAAGGTGCTATCGTGGTGTCAGTGAGCAGCCGTTTCAGGCTGGCCCGAAAAATAAACGGTCCGAGTGCTTGCGCCTTGCAAAAGGGTCCCGAAATTCCTGGTGCGGTTTACAGTACGCCCAGGAAACGTCAGGATTTCCGACACCTTTGCCGATGCTCAGGTCCTTGTGCTCATGAGTAGCATTACGATAGGTGGTCGGTGATTAGCAGACCCGTCCCTAGCAGCTGGATACCAGCATTGTACTGTGCAAGTGCTGCAATCCTACGGTAGTGGGAGGGGAAAGGTTAACGCGATGAGCAGCTCTTGATTACCTTATCGAGCAAGTTCCCAACTCCTGGCAATTTGTGCGCCTCATCCTTTGATACACGTCTTACTAGTACGCTACCGGTAAGCTATATCTCATCTTCTTCCCGTCCATCTTTTTGTTACCGCATCATTATTGTTATTTAATAAAAGCTTTCCCTTGCAAAATTACTTGTACAGTATGACTTGCGCTAGGACGGGAGCGGTGGGGTTTTGCGTAAATTAGGAACGAGTTGGCTTCACCGCACTGCTGAGTGTCATGCTCGAGTACATGCTGCTCCGTCCAGCTTGGATTGGCCAGTTCTCTGCCGCCCAGAGATACCGGTAGAGAAGAATCGGGTACTCGGGCGGTGGGCGTCTGTGAAGCGTGTGCTCGTGCATGGACTACCCGTACCGGTACTGGTGCAAGAGAAGCTGTGAGATTTTGGGATGCGCCCTGTATTACTGTTCAGCTCTGTGGAATGTTGGTTGTAGGGGTTTCTGGCGGAAGAGTGAGTAAAGTGCTTCCCGTACGAGACACACTCGTTCTGGTGCAGTTCGAGCACCCGTCTTGTCTGTATTCAACGCTCTTTCTTTTCCCCCTTCCATCGTTGACAGCGGTACCGGCGGTCTCATCCTCTTTTTTTTTTTTTACCCCCGAAGCTGGAGGGGATGAGGGGGCTGGATGTTCTGCCCGGTTTTTAAGTGCTGGATGCAACTTTCCTCATCCCTTTCCCCTTTCCAACCCTAAATTTTATCTGTCGTCTGTTTGGCTGTTTGTTCATGGATGGCTGTTGCGGGATGAGATCTGGCAGTGGATAAGGAAAAGGCCTGGATTCTGCGCTATGGATACCGTAGTTATCGCGCCCTCCGACGGCTTGTGGCCGTATGATATCTTTGCTCCCGGTTGGGGGATGGGATCGCAGCGATAATTTCCGCCTATGGAAATTAAAAGGTATGGCTCCCCCCGGCTGCGTACAGAAGTGGTTAGATGGCCACTATCAGGAGAAAAGGGCACGGAGCGAATGGGCGGGGGAAGATTTGGTAGGAGAGAGGCGAAGGAAAAAGAAATGAAGCTCGGAGTTGATGTTCTGTTCTTTCCGCCTCAGCTCCCCTTTCCTTCCAAGACTTTTTTTTTCTCTTCCTTCCATTCTTAGAGTACAGTACGGTACTCGCACGGTACTTGTACATAGCTCCTTTCTCTCGATAACCTTCACCTACCTTTTACCCCCTTCCATTTGCACCTTCTTGCTGTCACCTCCCACTATCCTGTGCTTCTCCACTCACCTCGGGAATTTGTTTCTCGGGTCCCACCCGTTGTTTCGACCGCAGCACCCAATACAATTCCTCCAGACCTCGTCTTAACTTTCCGCCCCCCCCGGCTCCATTTGCAAACAGCCAGGAGAGGGATATAAATATACTGAACCGCTTTCTGTGACCGGACGGGGATAAAGCGAGATACGGCGCTGTGTTACGACCTGTACAGTAAGGTACTCCCGCATTTACTTGGGAGAATGTAAGCAAGCCTTCACCCGCAGTTGCATACCCTATCATTCCTACTGGCGCAAGATATACTATCCGTCTAGCCTCCCTCGGGATATCGCCAGCCGAATATCTTGCTGGAGAAGGGGGGCAATTGCCAGCGGGGCTTCCTGGGCATGAAGATGACAATATCATGGTAGATCGGCTAACCATTTGACTTACATAGCCTCTCGTTCGATCGTTCCGGCCAACTCTTTCATTCTTAAAACAAAGGGACAGAACCCCTACACCCCCCCCTCCACCGCGGTCGTGGCTCCCACAAATCGTCCACGCCGGCGCTCCACCATTGGAAGCAACGCCGGCCCACCCAATCTCGGAAATATAGGGACCAACCTATCTTCTGGTATTTCATTGAATAACAATTCTGCTACCCATTCATCATTGCCTCCCATACCTCATACGCCCCTCATGGGTGCCGGGGGCAGCTTTTGGGGGAGCGATAGCGACAACAATAACGGATATGCTGGGTCACGGGCGTCCACCCCGGGTCTGCCCGTATCAAGATCCCATTCCCCGCTACCTTCCGAATGCCCTTCGCTGCCCGATTCAACGAGCAACGGTGGAATATGGCCGGGCCGGAAGGGTACCAGTAACGGGAGTGCAAACATCGGCGGTTACTCACCCGCGAGGAAGTTTCTCGGGAAGCACTTAAGGAAGCTATCAACTACGCTGCCAACCTACTCACCATTCTCCCCACCATACTCTACCTCGTATGGTACGCCTTCGACACCTTTCCCTCCTGGTGGGCTGCGGAGTTGCTTTTCCTTGAGGAGATCCAAATTGAATACCTTTCTGTTACTGATTGCGGCTCTCATGATCTTTGTGTTCACATATTTACATCATAACCCTGTATCGAGCAAGATTCGGTATGCTTCCGGGGGCTCGAAGATCGTCATCATTTTGGCCGCAAATCAGGGTGGTGGTGTCATGAGCTGGAAGGGAGCGAAGGAATGGGCTGTGGAGAGAGATTCCATTGCGAACAAGAAGGCGTATGCTGAGAGGTGGGGGTATCATTTGGAAATTAAGGATATGAGTACGAAGAGGAGATATGCGCATGAATGGAGAGAGAGCTGGGAGAAGGTGGATGTCATCAAGCAAACCATGAGACAGCATCCTAAAGCCGAATGGTGAGTTTGTTGATCCGGGGTTTTCGGTTTGTTCCGGGTTACTGGTTCATGGATATTCCCTGGGAATACCGGAAACCCGGTGGTAATTTTTCTGGAGTTTTGGAGTATATATGCTAACTTGAGGGGCTTCCAGGTTTTGGTGGTTGGATTTGAATACCTTTATCATGGAACCATCAATCTCCCTGCACTCGCATATCTTTCAGCATATCCAAAATGTTACCTACAGGGATATTAACATCTACAACCCACTCAATATCACCCATCCCTTCTCGAAAACCGATTTCTTCTATCTGGATGATGTATCCCTTAGCCCCGTCGGTGATGATAAGGCCGAAAGTATCAACCTCGTCATTCCCCAGGACTGTGGTGGTTTTAACCTTGGTTCCTTCCTGATCCGTCGAAGTGAATGGAGTGAAAGACTCTTGGACATCTGGTGGGATCCTGTCGGGTACGAGCAAAAACACATGGAATGGGAGCACAAGGAACAGGATGCGCTGGTTTGTCTCCTGATTTTCTCATGGCTTGCAACTATGAGGCTAATTGGTTGCATAGGAATATCTCTACACCAATCAACCTTGGGTCCGTACCGGAACCGCCTTTATCCCCCAAAGAATGATCAATTCGTTCCCTCCCGGCGCCTGTGCTGAGACCCCCGATGACAGGAGGATCTTTTATGATGAGAAAGACCGTGATTTTGTCGTGAACATGGCTGGTTGCGAGTGGGGACGTGATTGTTGGGGTGAGATGGCTTACTACCGTCAACTCAGCGAGAGACTTAACTCCGGTTGGTGGAAGAAGTCCTTCCGCTAAACCTCTAGTTATGGTCTGGATGCACGGTATACGCGTAGTCTCTTTGTAGAATCAAAAGACTGGAGGTTTGGAAGCAAAATTAGAAGTTTTAGTGGATTATAGGGTGGATAGAATGGTTTTGCCTTTTCTTTTTTCTTATCTCTTTTCATTTTTTTATTTTTTTATTTTGGGAATGAGAAATGAACCTTCTTCCCCCCCCTCCCCCCCTTTTTTTTTCTCCATTGAAAACTTTTAGGCGTCTTCAGAGACGGGGGTTGCATTTTTCCACCCTTTTCCACCTTCTGTTCTTTATACATACCTTTTCTTCTTTGAAGATATTACCATGCCCCTCTGGGTATGGATTGCTGTAGAGGCTGGAGATTTCTAGGGAGGTTGGTGGGCTAATAAGCTAGTATGCGGGTCTTATTATCCACCCTTTCAATGTACAAAATAGAGGATTTTTATGACTGATTCAACTACTTCTCTCGCTCTCCTGTTTTCCTCGCCAAAATTCCTGATGGAAGACGGGGACGGGATTTTCGGATTGCTGGACGAGATGGAGGGGATAGAGGAAGATTGGGCGGTCGGGTGTGAAGGTGGGGGAGAAATTCTCGACATGGACCAATTCCCGGACTGGGACTTTCCTTCAGACCGAAGCAATGTTTCATCTTTCACTATCCCCTTATTGACTCCTTCATCGTCCCCTGCTGCTTCGGGGATCTCAGTGCTTGCCTGCATCGAGAACACTATTACCTCTCTAACCACGACGCTCACACAAACCCCATCCGCCTCCTCTGTGGGCATCTCGCTCCATTCCCGCCGCCCACAAACCACCTACTTCTCCCCGCACACCTCCTCAATCCTCCCGCTCCCGCACACCCACCCCTCGCATTTCACCAACACAACTTTCCCCCGAAACCCCCGACAATTCACCTGCATCCTGACACTCCTTTCCATCTTGCATGCTCACCATTCCCCCACCTCAACACCCCCACCACCCCCGCTAACAAAGCGCCAAATATACTACCACAATCCAACCCTCTTCCGCACCCAACGCAATGTGGACCACCTCCTCGACTCCCTCGCAGCGACATTCCGCCTAACCAGGCAGGATCTGGGCATCTGCGCTGCGGGGAGGGGACTTGTGTACGGAGAAGTATATATCGAAGGTGCCTACTTTGGCGGGGAGGGCGGCGGGCTCATACCGCCTTCATTCGCGCCCGAGAGCGTAATACTGGCTGCCGACGTGGGAAGCGTACTACTCGTCGAGAAAGAGACCATCTTCCGAGCACTGAGTTCCCTCCGCTCGGGGATTGTGCAAGAGGGTTTGGTCATGCTCTGCGGGAAGGGATATCCGGATTTAAGCACCCGCAGACTCTTGTTCCTGCTCCGGGAGAAGAAAGGTGTAGAAAGGGCGGCCACTTTGGTAGACTTCGACCCGGGCGGGGTGGAGATCGCTGCGACATACAAGTTCGGCAGCACATTGCTGGCGCACGAACGTGTAGCGGTGCGCGGGGTTGAGGTCATTGGCGTTCTATCGCAGGATCTAGTTTCTCTAATCACTTCCGCTAACGCCTCCGCCGCTGGCGGTGATGGTGGGGCGGCTGTAACTGCTCTCACCCCTAGAGACCGCAAAAAGGCCCTGGCGTTATTAGCCAGACCCTGGATGCTCACAACACCATCCTGGAAAGTGGAAATTCAAAGAATGCTGTTCTGGGGCATCAAGTGCGAGGTGGAAGCCTTCTACTCGGGCGCTTGCTTCGCACGGTGGGTTTTGAGAAGGGTTGGTAAAGCCGTTGCTTGATCATTTCCGATAGATCGATATATATTATGAAAGTGTGTGGATAACAATCCTACACCACAATTATGAAGAAGAAAGTGTTGTATCCGTTTTAACTCAGTAAGCCAGGCGAAACCGGGCAAAGGCCAGGGATGGAAATTACCGTATTGCACCCGTACACATCATCACAATTACCCACCCACGGCATTCCCATCATTACTTGTACTCGTACCCCTCCCTCCACCTGGGCCCCCCATGATACCCTAAATCATCCTAAAAACCCTAGAGAACCCCACCTACCCTCCACCCATCCATCATTAATTATGATACGATATTAATTTCTGTCCATCACACAACACCCCCCCCCCTTTTTTCCCCACAGCACTTTCAAAACACTTCAAAACACACCGTAGCACCCCTGCCCTTAACCTCTCCACCTTTCTATCCCTTAGAGCTCACTCACTAGCGATAAACGCCATCCATTCTGTATGATATCTATTGAAGTTTATAATTTTTTTTAATATTTTTTTTTTACCCTGTTCCCCCTTATCTTATCTTATCTTATCCTAGCTGTGGGTGGAAGGAGGGAAAGGAGGGAAGGACTGGAATTTTTCCGAGAGAGAAGGGGCGGGGGGTTTAAAAAAGGGGGGAGGGGATTTGGGATTTGCGGCAGCGGGAAATGAAATCAAGGAGTCATCCACTGTGTATCCTAAGTGTGAGAAGCAAATTTGGTGGAAAAAAATAAATGAAAAATAAAATAAAAATGCCTAGATAGATACACCAACTAGCCCGCCTACCACTTCCCCCCCTTCTTCTTCTTCTTCTTCGGTTTGTTCGCGTTAACCTTGAGTACGTCCACCCTTCCGCCACCCGCCAATTCCATACTTTCTTCCCCCGCACCTCCTCCCCCACCCTGCGTAGCGCCACCGCCGCCGCCGCCCACCCGCCCCCTCCCCTTCTTTCCCTTCGGCTTGTACCCACTCCGATCCCAAAGCGGCAACCACCGCTCGGGATCCGGCGTCTTGCTGCTATCAAATTTGTGTGCCTTTTTCTTCTTACATGCAACCTTCGCTCCAGCCTTCCCGCCTATCCCCTCCATCTCCTCCGCGGAGCGTTTCCTCGGAGGTGGCTGGGCGACGCCTGCGGCTTCTAGGGCCGCTGCATCGATTGTTGAGATCAGTTTTTCGAGGGGGGTTAGTTTTTGTTGGAGGTGCTGAGGAGGAGGGGGGGATGCGGGCGAGGAGGGGGTGGAGGCGAGAAGACCCGCGGCTGCGAAGGGATCACTAGGAGAGTGGGCTAGTAGAATTTCGAAGATTGAATGCGCCGAGCGCAGGTCTGAGTCTGTTGAGGTGGGGTTGTCGAGGTGGGCTTTTGCCGAGGCGCGGAGGAGGGGATGGTTCTAATTTTATTATTAGCATTAGTGCCAGTGGGTTGGCTGGGGAGGGGAAGGAGGGAGGATTTACGGGGGTCGGGGAGTTCTTCCAGTATTCGCTGGCTTTCGAAAGGATATCTTTGACGTGTTGGCGTCTGCCTTGGTGTTGGTATAGTCCCACGAGCAGGCCGATCACACCCGGGAGATACTTCTGGTCCTCCGGGGCAGCGGATATAACATTTTCTACTGCGGCAATAGCTCCGGTGATATTTCCGCTTCGCATACGCAATTGCGCCAGAGTCAGCGAGAGGCCGAGGTCGCCGGGGCTCTTCTTGACCAGCTTCTCGACCTTGTCCTCGCGGGCGGCGGCCAGGATAACACTTGCTTCGCTGTCGTGGGGGTGATTTTGTAGGTGTGCTAGAGCCTGCTTCTTTGCGGCTTGGGCCTTTCCGGCTTCTAATTCCAGCACTGCGCGGTTTCTGCCGAGCGTCTTGGACTGGAATAGGAATGCTTTTGAGGAGACAGATGTAGTAGCTGACCCGGCCGGCGTGATGAGTGATAAATGGGGGTTATAATCTGGCAGTCTAGAGGTTATGGCGATCTCGTTGTTTGTAGCAACGGCTTTCAGTGAAGTATCGGTGATGCTAGCACGACCCAATCAGCTACCCGGTTCAGACCTTGATCTCTATGCGGGTGCAAACCTAGGAATATCTAACTCCTTCGACCTCTCCAACGCCTCCTTCCACCTCCCCATCTTTGCAAGCACATAAGCCTCTTGAGCCAGAACCGGCGCAACCTCAACCTTCCTCTCCTCCTCGCTAAGGTCCTCCAACAGCAACCCCAACTCTCTCGCCCTCTTTAATAAAACGAGAGCCTGTTCGAACGCGCGCCGGGCAATAGCTCCGCACGCGGAGTTGAATGCAGTCTCGAACGAATCCAGAGCGCTCCTGTCAACCTTGTTACCCTTCCCCCCCGATGCCGCCGACCCGTTCGCCCAAACCAATTGCGCGTTCGTGGCACTGATGTTGACGCTCATATCGTAGTCTTCGTTCTCCGCTTGGTACCCGCCCCTGGATAGTCCCGCGTATATTCCCGCCGCTTGATCAAATTTTTCCAATCTGTATGCCTACCCATTGTATCCCTCCTCCGTCAGTCGTAGAACAAGTCATAGATGGGATTGGGGGGCAAGAGCATACAGCTTGAGCCTCAACATGCTTCAACCCCCTGTCATCCTTCCTATCACCCCAATTGCCCTCTACCGCAGCGGCCAACGCATCCTCCAGGCTCCCCAACTTGTAAAGACAATAGGCCCTCTCTAGTGCCGCCTCTCCCGCCAGCTCGGGTACCGAGAGCTGCGAGAATGCGTCCTCGTAGCGGTCGAGGTTTATTAGTGCCACTGCCTTAGTATGTAATGCCCGCTTGTGCGATTTCTCGGACTTCAGGACGTTGTTCGCATGCTTCAAGACAGAGACGTGGTCGGCTTCGCCAGCTATTGATAGGGTGGATAGGAGGGATTCTAGTGTTTCCGGGGTGTATTGTGACATTTTCCGGTTGGTGGGGAGGTTTGTGGATGGGCGAGTTTTAATGGTACGCGGTGGGATGGTGGGGTGGGGTTGGACACGTGTGGCTGGTGGCTTTGTTGTTTGTGCGGAAAAGCCACACTTTGCGGGAAGGGGGGATTGCACAGTTTGTCACTCGGACATAAAATCAGATGGGTTCATTTGCTTATGACATGACACTCGTATCGCAATATGAAGGAGGCGGTTTCATTTGAGTTTCGAAGGATACATTCTAGAACTACGGTAGATAGTCTAATCCTTGAACGAAAAAATGCTAAACAGACTACTAGAAAAAAAAAAAAGAAAGGGAAAGGAAAGAGAGAAGGAAAACGAATAAAGTACAGGTATCATACTTGTGAAGGGAAAAGCCTATCCCGAGAATTGCCTTTGGGGATATGCAACACCTCAACTCCACCTGCCAGTACGCAAGTCCGGTCTATTTGACCGTCAAGAAGGCGATTCCCTCCCTGGCAATCTTCGTAGCGGCTGCCAACTCCTGGTTCTCTGTGTCTGTCCATTTAACAGTAAGCTCATCCCACTTCATAGTCGTGTACTGCCTCTTGTGCTCTCTCTGCATATCCTGCAGCCTTCTTAATTCCCTGGGATCTCCGGTACCAGAGTATACAATGAAGGCAGTGCAAGGTGGTAAAGAGTCGTAGATCTGCTTCAGCTGAGCTGTAACATTCTTGACTCCCTGGGCAAGTACGGCAAGGCTCGGCTCGATGTTTTTAATGGGGACTGGAGGACCTTCCTCTGGCGCGGCTGTCTTGTTCCATCCGCGGAGAGCCTCGAGAGTGCGCATACGGCCCCAGACTAAATCAAGCTTAGGATGTCCGTCGCGGGTGCCGGGAGGATCCCCGCGGATGGATTTTACAATGCCTGTAGCTACCTCTGCGTCGTCCTTTGCTAGGATCACTCTCGCGGCGCCAGGGCTCCACCATTTGTCCGGTGCTCTATAATCGACGATTCCACCAATGCGGGCTGCCGGTCGCATTCTGGACAGCCGTTTGAAAATACTCTCGGAGGCCGTGTTGCTGGTTCCATATTCGAGTCCTCTCTCCAGTTTGAGCTTTAAGAGGTCCAGACAGGCTTTTGCATCTTCTATCGAGTCATGACCGTTTGGCCCTCCTTTTTGAATCTCGCGCCTAAGGTACTTTGTGGTGAGCCATTTCAATGAAGCTCTATATGGGGGTCCGCGGGGGTGATCGTAAATTACTGAGGTGTCTATGATGTGTGGATGGGCTATTCTGATCGCCCCGAGATCGGCGTTGAGAGATTGTCCAACGAGAATTGTATCGTTATTGAGGAGCTTTAAGAGGTGGTTTTGGACGTCTTTCAGGCTAGTAGTGACGGGATCGAGCATCGGCTTGGTCATGCCGGAATATCTTTTATATATATCAGCTTCATATCTTCTCAATAGGGCGGCGAAGAGCAACTTACGGCGTCAAATAATCTGTAATAAGATTTTCCGGCTTAACTAGGGTATCGTAAACCGTCTCCCCATCCCAACTCACAAGACTAATTCTCGCTAGCTCCAAACCTTGTTTCGTCTGAACCATCTCGCAGTCCAAGGCATAAATTGTCTTTGCCTCGGTAATAGAACCACCCTCGTTATTCTCCCGACCATTCCCCCTTGAAAGATCCGTTTCAACCCACCCAGCCTTCGTGGCTTCCGCCACCAATGAAGCCGTAGCATGAACAGAATGGACCGGATACTCGTTCTCAACTAATTCCCCGAAGGGCATAACAAGCCGAGTGACGCCTATCCTCTGACTGGTTGTATACTTATCAGATTCCTGCGAGGCCTTCCCTTTTGGAATAGTTGTATTTAGGAATCCAGTTATAACAGAGTATACTCTCCCGCGCTCATCCCCAGGAGCTTTAACAGGCCAAACATGGGAAAACATGTCCGCAAACCCCCCCACACAGGCCTGCAACTGGGTCCTTTTAAGTTCCTGTGGATAAAACGCACGTTTCCCCCAACCCAAACCTGGCTTTGAGCTAGGACTCGATGATTGGGCAGTCTGAACAGACTTGGCCAGATCATTCCTATCGACAACGACTCCCAAATCCTCCCTTACCCCCTCATTCTGCCCTCCACCCACAGCAGCGATACCAGAAGTAAGATCTAGATCGCCATTGAACATCGCCATCTCCAACCCAGGAACCATGACAACCACAACCCCGCGAATCTCATGCTTATTCTTGACAAGCAGCCACTGGGGCGCAGTCCCGTCAGCCAACAACCACAAAGCAAGAGATTGTATGTCGCTGAGCTTAACAGGGCTGCTTATTCTGGTAGGTGATACTTCGAAAGACGGATACTTGTGTTTCGACTTCTTATGTCGTTTGGCTATCTGCCACTCCCCCCCACCGTCGCCTTCCCCCACTTCTCCGCCCATCGAATCGGCTGCCGTGGTGGTAGTGGTTGTGGCGCTGGTAGTGGTAGTGGCGGTTACGGGATTTGAAGTAAATGGCCCGGGTATACCGGTCAGCTTGAACTCTCCGAACTTTACGGCAGGAAGGGGAGGTGGAGGGAGTGCGGCGTGAGCGTTCGATGGCGAGGGCGAAGCCTTGGGTGGTGGGAAGGCCTTTCGGTGTTTGCGTTTTCCCATGGCTACCACTGCTCCTCGTAAGATTGACCCCAGGAGCAGGGCTTTGAGTGGAGGGGCTGCCCTTGAGAGTGCGCGGAAAACTGCGCGGAGGGGAGTTAGAGGAACTATGGTTGAGGCTCAGGTGGTGGTAAAGTCTAGAGGGAGTTGAGTGGGTGTAGGAGAGGAAGAAGGGATTTAAAGACGATTGGTTATAGATTTCTCCGAGGGGCGATGGTGGGGTTGGGTCTTCTGCAGGATAGATGGGATGAAGCTTTGTGGGGTTTGCTTCGCTATTTTGTGCATTTGGGTGTTTAATGGAGGGAAGTTTTCGATTTTGACGTCCGGATGCCAAGATTTACGATACCGCACGCACTCTCGGGGCTTGGTATTATAATATTATGATATGCTTCTGCTGCTTGTGCACACAAACCCTACCGTAGATTAAGGATACGGTACAGGTATTCACTGACTGCTGATAAAACATCCATTCAATCTGTCTAGAGATATCATACACCACGAAAAGCATCCAGCGATGATCGAGCATCATTTTTCATTTATATCGATTGAATTAAAAATCACACAAAGCAATAACACGACAACATAGCCAAGGAAACGTGAATCGGAATCGTACCCTAATAAACTAAAACCTTTGTTTTTTGTTTTTCGTTTTTCCAGGGAAAGAAACGCTACAAGTTGCTTCTCTAGTTAAAAAAAAAAGAAGTTTGTCATTTGATACAGCCAACCTATTGCCATTTCCGCCGGAGGCTAGTAATCCAGCTCCTCGACTGACTTTTTACCCTCCCCACCAGCCGCATCTAGGTCCATGTAACTCTTGACACTCCTTCCTAGCACTGCCAATTCTGCCTCCCCCCCACCGCTGGTACCACTGCTAGTAGACGCGGGTGCAGCACTAGGGGTTCCCCCAACGGGCCCAGATGCTCTATTAGCGGGAGAATTACCGGGCTGTCTCGTGAGCTCCCTCATCTCCCTGTCGCGTCTCTCCCTTTCCCTCTCCCTGTCACCCCTATCCCTCCTCGCACTGTAGGGAGCGAACCTCTCCCGCCCGGTGCCCACGGCCATGGGAAGCCCTACAGCACCCATCGGAGGCACCCTGTTCTCTCTCCGGCGCTGCGGACCAACCCCACTTCCACCATCCCTACCCCTGCCGGCGTCCGGGAGGCCAGGCCCAGCAGTTGCCATGAGGTGGTTCGGCACGTATTTATCCGCACCGTTACCGTGGTGTCCCGTGAAGAATGGCGCATTGAAGTTGAATCCAGGGGGTGGTTGAAAAGCTCCGGGCGGGGGAGCAGGGCCGCCGAAAGTGCCCAAAGGCATCATCGGCGCGAATCCACGATTGCCGCCCGTCTGAACTGTCTGGAACCCTCCCTGATTGTTCTGTTCGATCTTAGGAGGGTGAACTCTGCACGGATCCAGGACATAGCTATTGACTAACTGGGCTTCTGTCTCCAAAAGATGCAACCATTCGCCATGCTTTTTATCCAAGTGCTTCCTCCAGAACTCCTCGGCTTTGAACAACTTGGTGCACCCGGCGACCTTACATCGGTATTTACCTTCATCTTCCTGCTTCATGCTTCGCTGGACTTCGTCCTCGACTGCTTCTGGAACAGGCTTGCCGCCAACTTTCTTAAGCCTTTCTTTGTAGTCGTCGTCATTTGGCTGTGGGGGGCAGACAAAAAACTCCAGTTTGTCCTGCCAGGCTTTTGTCCAATTGACGGTGCGGTTGTCCGGAGCGAAATCACTAGCCGGGGTAGGACGGCGCATATGGCCACCAGGGCATTTCCTAGTGAGTTCAACAATGGAGTCGGATGAGGAAACACAGTAGATACAAAACGAAAAGACCCGACGAAGGTATTCCACCCCCATGTCGATGGTCTTCTTGATGATCTTGAGTTCGACCTCACTCTCACCGCTCTCCTCTCCTTCCTCCTCACTCCCCATCCTTTTCTCTCGCTCGCCACGACCCCATTCCTCAACTTTATCCTTGATCATCTCCCAACCATCATATTCTACCATTGAATCTTCGCCATTGCGATGAAGTTCTGCTTCAAGTTTTCTGATACACTTTTCAACCAATTTGGCTTCCTTCTTCAGATTCTCAGGTAGACTCATGGCTTCGTTCAGGACCTTCTTTGTTCTAGCACTAGTCGGTCCATTATGGATTCCCACATGGCACACAAAGTCACCGTGTACACCATCGTGAATGCTCTTCCCATTGAGAAGTTCGACTATCGATTCATCAACTGGTGCGGGCTCCGATGTAGGGTCACTAGGGTCTGTGGGAGAAAGAAGGATGAAGCCGATACGGTGAAATTTCTTTAAGGGGTTGGGGTCCGAAAGCGAGATATAGTGGAAGTTTGAGAGATTTGTAGAGGCAAGCTGCTCACAATCAGTCGCAGTTCAACAAGGAAACGTGAAAGCCCAATATTAAAAAGCGGGTAAGATATTTACCTCCTCTAATTGAGCTCGGCTGACGGTAGGACTGATAGTCTTGATCAACAACACTGGTTTCAAACCGCCGTCTTCGATGGTTCTATTGATCTCTTCGATCTCCTCACCAGGCTCAAGACCACTGTCTTCAGGCTTTGGAGCAGTCCCAGTCCCAGTTTCACGGTCAATGTTATCTAAGGTCCCACTCTGCATTTGAGCCCTCCATCTCTCGAAGGCTCCTCTTCTATAATCCACTATCTTCGCCTTTGCGACTTCCTTCTCACCAGGAACGTAGCGTTCTTTAAACCATTCATCGTTCTTATGCGTGGTCACAAACAACTTCGCGAGGCGTGCAGTGAGTTCATCCTTATATTCATCATACTTCTGTTTTACCTCCTCCTTCATATTAGGTCCAGTCCCACCCGGGTTTTCTTGATGGTACCAATCAGAGAAGTAATTAAACGTAACTTGGTAGTCTAGCCTATGAGGGTCGAAGTACATGGGAGGGGCAGTCCCGTTATGCGGCGGAACGTAGCGATCAATTGCACCAGGTTTCCCGAGCATGGGAAGCTGGGGGACGCCATGCTGAGTGTACTCAAAGCGCGAACGAGAGGGTGAGCGAGAGCGACGAGGTTGGGGGGATCGAGGGACATAACGGTCGATATTCCCACCAACGGGGGGAGGAGATCGCGAACGGCGAGGTGGCAAACGACGTATGGGGCCTACAGAAATCAACGCTGTCAGTTAAGCCTTCTCTATGAGGTGCGCGTGGGGAAGAAGAAGAAGGAGAAAAAAGACGGAGTGGTCCGGGAAAACAAGACACGGTGAGTTAAGCTCCACCAGCCACCGACCGGGCACCAAAACGAAATGGAAATATAGAAAAGTAAAAATCACCCAGCGAGAAACGAAGGCAAACAGCAACCAGTACACGCGTCAAGAATATGACGCGAACAGCCGTTATTGCAAATAAAGGAGGTAACTTACCAGGACTTCTTCCCCGCCCTCTCCCGTAACCCCATTCAGCATCATTCAACCGGCCATAGTCGCTCTCCAATGTAGCGCGATCCCGACTGCCCCGGCTCCTGTCCCTATCCCTGTCACCGCCAGTATAGCGGTCGTTTCCAAGATAAGACATGGTTGCTTTGAGAATAAAAAGTCAAAAGCTCCTAACTTTCTAGTTGAATAATGAACGAATCGATAGCGTGGTACTGATTGACCACAGAGTGGAAGAAGGGGGAGGGCCCCTCGCAGGGACGTGGCGTAGACGTGGTAGGAGAGATTGAATTGGATCTGCTGTTGCGCCGAGCCATGACCCAAAGCGTTAAAATGAGGATCAAAAAAGAATAGAGAAGAGAGAACAATAGGGAGGTAGTTTGTTTGGAAGAGAAAAAAAAAAAAGGAAAGAAAAGAAAAGGGAAGGGAAGGGAAAAAGAACAAGGGAACGAAGCGACGAAGGAGGACGGTTCAGGTAAAAGGAGTAGGAGTAGGAGTACGGCAAGGGGAAGAGTAGAGGAGGGGAAAAAAGGAGGAGGCAACACACAAGAAGGAGAGAGATATGAGCGAGACGGCTCAGATGGATGGGATGGTTAACGATAGAATTTCCCTGACCCGTGAGAAGTGATAGCAGCTCCTAGATTAGAGGGGGGAGTGATGAACAAAAGACGTTGCGGATGAGTTGCGAGTGTGGGTGGGTGAGTGTGGGCGGGAGTGAGGGATTGAGAGGTTGAGCGAGAGTGAGGTGAGATGTGGAGAGTGGGAAGGGAAGGGAAAGGGCCAGGGCAAGGGGGAAAGGGAGGGAAGCTGACTTTACAGGGGAAGACAAAAGCGATGTGAGGGACAGAGGGTGAGGAGGGAAGAGCCAAGAGCCAATCCAACTCTAGAATGGCCAGAACCCAAGACACTGAGGGGGACCCCTAAGAAGAGCCGATGAATTCAACAGGGGCAGGGGAACCAGTGCCTGGAATTCATTACTGCACCCGTATGATACAGCATATAGTGATATGCTGGCTCTTTCGCTTTACGATACCCACGATAATAGGGCAGGCGAGGACGCCGGAACCGAGGTCTAAGGTGTGGCGCAACACACCTTCCTGGAAAATGCTGGCAGGTGGCTGCGGTCCCGGTCTGGAAACTTCGGCACACACGGTACCATACGTCATCAGCAGACTTCAAATCCAATCGGACACGTCGCCTTCTACCCTGCTCGTAATCCACTCGCAACCTAATAGAGCACTAAGATACCCGTACTGCCGTACATCTACTTTCCCCGCATCCACACGATCTCCCCTTTCTTCCACCTCCCTCTCTCTCATATCGTTCATTCTTCATTCCCTCTCGACCCCCCACCCCCAATTCTCACGATCGGATCCAATCCAACCCAATTCGATCATTCCAAGATGTATTCGGTCCCTCGCGTCCCCCCCAGCTGTCCTCCCAACCTTCACCTCTGCAGGCCCCACAGCTTATGATACGCCGCTCACCCTGCAACAACCCTCAGCCCCTCCCCTCGAGCCTACGGGTCCGCTGTCTCACCTATACCGGAGCGATGCCCCACCCCCATGCGGCCCGTGCCCAACCCCGCGTAGATGCCTCTCTTCCTTGGCGCTAGGCGGCCCGCCGTGGCGCTCGTGGACATGGTCTCCTTGACGGGCAACGTGAGCTGTTTGACGTATGTATGGAAACCGTGGGACCCAGTCTGGGCGTAGTTTATGGTGCCGTATTTCGGGCGGTTAGGGTTTACTTACATAATTGAGTGCTGGGTTGGTGTCTTGAATAGGCGGAATATTGGTGGGGTTGGGGAGGTGGAGGAGGGGAAGGAAGTGAAGGAGGGAGAGGAAGAGGAATGGACTCTTTTGAAGCAGTAGAGAGAGAAGATGTGCTGGTGGCAGAGTCGCTGATTGCTTGTCCGAACTCGATATTGCTACCCTAGAGTTCGATAACATCCAATTAACACCGTAGTCGAAAGCATCCCAAACTATCACTGAAAGAGCAACACATCCCAAAGACCCATCCAACACCAGTCCCTCCCTCTCCATGCCGAAAAAAAAAGAGACTACCGTCGAGAATTTCATGGATAAATTGAAAATTGTCCCTCGCGTGTATTATACTAAATTCACACCAATACCGGCGAACATATGGCACCCATTATGCCGCCGATGGGGGGGCTAGAAGCTTTACCCCCATCATATCGGAGGTCGGCCAATTGCGCTGGTATATTCCCGAGTGACAATTCATGACACTCCATGCTATTTTTGAAATTTAGTATATCACACAGTGCCCGGGCAAAAGTCTCGGCGATCGGGCATAACGGTACTCACACCAAAATTGGTGGTTCTCGAAGGGGTTCCTTTAACCAGGCCACTGCGCTGAACCCGACCTGAAACCCTTACAGAGACCATCCAAGCTGTTCTGTTTCTTCTGTACGCATGTAAGGAGTAAGCTCCAACTGTTCATAGAGTCCTCCGCTGCTTGGCCACCGAGTTACAGCAACATTATTGTGAGATGTTACCGGGGCAACTAACTCATCTTAGTAAGCTGCCATAGTGATGATAGTGCCTTTTAAGCAATCGGAGAACTTTACAAGCTTGTATGACCTCAATTGGTAATGGGTACGCCTTAAATTAATTTATGAGAAGTCATATCGATAGGGTGGCCCTAGATTAGGAATTTGGGGGAATGGAGATCCAGCTTTGGGTGAGCTATGGAACTATTCAAGAGTCGATCTCCCCCCCATCTTTGGTGTCAAGCGGTTCCAATCACCGTGACTTTTATTTACCCAGGGACTGTACGATGGCCAGGTTCATACGGCATGTGCTATACCGGTATCACGTCACAAGATCTATCATGATAGAGAAGGTACGGCGTGGAAGCATAGGATATAAAAGGCCACTCCCGATCAAGGAAAAGCCCTCATCCTATAGTACTGTACAGACAGAAAGAAGAAAAAGAAACTGTTCCATCATAAGAAAAAAGAAAAAGAAAACTTTCCATTACAACAGGCACCTGAAAACCCCTCCCATTTTCACTCATCAAGTTCAGCCCAGTCAACCTACCCGCTACTACAATTACTCCGCCAGCACATTCCGAAGCTGCAGTAAGAATTCCGCCTGCAGCTTCAGTATCTCACTGACTTCCGGCTTCTCCGGCTCGCCAGCGCTACGCCTTAAATGGTCCTGCTTCTTTTTCCTCCGACGTTTCTCGGCCTCGATTGGGTCGGCTTGGTCGTCAGATTCGTCCTCATCGCTAGAGTTGTTGTCATCGTCGACGTTGTTTAGTTCGTCTAGGTCAGCCTTTCGCTCTGTCAGCCTCGCATTATGTGTGGGAAGTGGGGGAGGTGAAGTACCGAGTTAAGGCCGAAATCAGAGGTCGTAAATGCGTTGTCAGGAGCAGTGTTGAGCCACCCGTTCATGTCACCTCCGCTGGCCATCTTTTGTCTGGTCTTGTCTTCATGCCACTTCCTTCTTCGGGCTTGCCATTTGATTAATTGATCGATCTCTGCCTTGGCTTTATTGCCGTCGATATCACCGCGTAGGACGGCTTCTTCTACAAGGCGATTCATATCCAGTGGGCCCGATTTAGGGCCGTTACGAAGGAACGATAGAATTCCCTCTAGCCAGCCCATGAGCTTCTCAAACAGTCCATCGTCATGGATATGGACCTCGTGGACGAATTTGTAAAAGTTATCTTCATGGCGAGCGCAAAGGTCGATGAAGGCCTGAACGGTCTGGTTAGGGTCTGAAGACATGTCTGTAGATTAGATCGTCAATATATTTCTTTCTACTTTCGATCCTAGCGTCCAACTGGAAAGGAACGGGCTTACCCTGGCTTTGCGCCTTTTCCACAACTTCCACCATATCGTCGGCAAAGACGGCAAAGTCTGTTACACTGCTGTATACATTCGCCGATTTATATACCCTGATTAATGGCTCGTAGAAGATGGTGAAGAGATCGCGGAAGAGCTGTAGTGTTACTGGCTGAACCCCCCGAGTAATCAGCAGACGACCCATACTCCGAAAGGCTATGCTATACACACCTCTCCAATTATAGCCAACATCATATTCTTGTCTCGCTGTCTGGTATACAGCTTCAACAACTGCTTTAGGTAAGCGAACAATTGTCCGCCTGCTCTCATATCGTCGACCTGCGCCATCCAGCATCAGCGTGACACCCGTATCCAGCTATTGCATGCAGAGACTCACGCTTTCCACCGCACTGTTCCAACCGACGTATGCGTTGAATACAGTCTCCACCTGCTTTGGCTCTAGTTCTGGCTCTATCCTTTCCGATCTCAATATAGCGACAACCAGATCAACCTGGTCGAGAACTGCATCCCTTCTAATCTCCTCGCGGATCTCTTCATCGATTTCGGTAAACTGCCTCAGCTTGCTACAGAGCACCGGATCATCGATTTTTACAGTCAAAGAATCTATGCCTTTTTGCAGCTGCCTAATACCATCGTTTATAGCCATAGAAAGAATTCGTTGCATTAATGACCGGGATCCAAATGGTGTTGCCAGAAATAGATCCAGTACTCCGTTCATCACAGCTGCCGGATTAGCAATGCGAATGACATTCTTGAGGATTGTGTAAGGGATTAGGGAGTGTATTCTCTTGGCTTGATGAAACAGTTCGGGCGAGTTATCTTCGGCGAGGAAAATATGATAGATAGTTGCGGCGATCTCTATCCGGAGCCATTCCGCAAACTTCTTATACTGAATTGAAAGGTCTTCAAGTTTGTCCTTCTCTCTTATTTCCGCAAAAAGTTTCGTTAACCCATCTTGAAAACGTCAGTATTGGCACCACAGGATAAGGTGGTGGAGCAACCTGGAAAAGGTACTTACTGCTTTCAACAATCTCCCTTCTAAAACTCTCCATGTAAACATCAAGCTCTCGAGCTCTCTGCCTCGCAATCTCATAGAACCTCTGTTGCTCCTCAATTCTGATATGATCCATTTCTCGTCTCCTCGCCTCATCATTAAGCTCCTCTTCATTCAAAGCAATTGGGTCTTTCAGCAGAAACTCATTCATCGCCCTAGATTTCGCAATTTGGATATCGCCAAGTAGGACCCTCAGGAATGCTCTTAACGATATCCTCTGGTTCTCACGCCAGAGAGTAACCGGTTCATTTATACTGCTAGCCAAAGAGTTTCGGGAAGCGTTGCGACTATGTTTGCTTATGCCCAATGAAGTGCCTAATGATTGAGACCGTCTGTGGCCGTTACCACCCCTCCCGCCATTTCCATTCACAGAGCTGCTGGAAGTTGTCGACACAGAGTACATAGAGGATCGGTCGTCGGCCGATGACAGAGAGAGCAAACCCACGGTCGACTTTTGAGATGAACCGACCTTGCGCGGGAGAGCTGGGAGGACCTTCCCCGGAAGCTCATTCCGAAGCTGTCACGCTGTCAGCGGCCGCATCCCTCAGCTTCGTTACCTTCTCGTATCCCTTACATTTCGGTGGAGACGGACGAATGCACCATATCTCCGGCCAACAATCACATCTGGCCGATCCATTCTCTTTGTGCGAATCAAGAACTCCTGGAAAAGGGCGCGATAAGAGAGTATCCAAGATTAGGCCAGACGCGCCTACTTACTGCATGTGTATGATACCGCACGGTTCTCTTGATACTTGTCTGCCTCACCGCAGCGACGTTGACATCCCAGCCATTAACCCAATGCCCCTCCGTCATGTTGACCAATATACCGCTCTCGTTCGCAGCTCTGTCGGCCCCTCCGGCAGCCTCAATCTCATCAAACCCAACACATTCTTCATAGCCAGACGCAGTAGGGATACCAGAGTTCATCATCAAAGCAACAACCTTTTCGCACTTCAGGGCAAGCTTCCTCCGCTTGGTCTCCTCTAAACGATCCTCGGAGGACGATACCCGTTTGTTCGCAAAGGATTCGAGGAACTAAATGTCATAAGTGCTACCCACGTCAGGCCCGGGGGCCGCAAACTCACTACTTGTAGTCTATCCTGCCAGAATTCCCTCTCCCTCGCCTGATCCAGAAAGGGGAAATTTCTAACATGGTGAACAAAGATGTATCTTAAGATCGGTAGCTCACTATCAACAGGGGCGACCTCTCCGAGGGGCGAGCGGAAAGGCGCTCCGAAACGTTGTAAAGCTGTTGGGGAGTTGAGCTCCGAGATCTCGAACTGGACCTGACGGGAAACAAGCTCCCTCTTGAGATCTGGGAGGAGTCAATATTCACTCGGGCCCGGCAGAAGGGGTAAAGCGGGGTATTCCCAAGGAGCGAGGATATTTCAACAAACATACAATGCTCCTGCTTCCCGGCCAAGACATTCTTCCTTTCAGAGATGGATAACGAGGACAGACGCGGTGAAGCTGGGGCAGTCATAACGGGAGAAGTTGAAATAAAGTTTGTGCAAGCACCAAAGAACCCGATCTGAATGATGAAAGAGAAGGAAGGGAACAATGAGAGAAAAAACAGAAGGATGCGGGCAAGTTGGGATTGACTGCCGTCTAATTAAATCTATCCCCGAAGAGAAGGGGTTCGGGAGGATGGAGGGGGATGGTTGGAATAACAAATACCGGTACGGGTAGGGTCTGAGAGCAAGCACTCTTGTCCAGTTCTACCACCGTAGTAGTGGGGGGGGTGGGCGAGGGAAAAGCAGGGCGAGAGATGCAAGGATCGCTATCATAGAAGCAAGAGGACCCTGCTCCCCAGTGCTTACAGCACAGTACGCAAACGCTCATCCTCTCCTTCCTTCCATCGCTTTGATAGCGCGTTGTACCCGTAATCAGGAGTGGCCAAAAGGGGCCTTCGGGGATAGAGTATCATACCGGCAACGCGAATGACGTACTTACACAAGCGCTGCGCCCACGGACGCGCAACTTAACCGCCAAGCCGCACGCCAGATTCATCGATTTCAAATTTGGCCGATGAAGAAATTGCTGGTTCCGCTTACCCGTATGTAGACTATCTGGGCAACAGCACCGCTAACTTATCACACTCGAGTAGTTGCACGATAGCAAGAGTGACCAACGGATCCTTGAATTTCCTTGATACTTACAACACGATAATCTACAGGCGTGCTACGTGCTACCGGTACTTGTATGATACAAGTACTGTGATTATGGTGTTGCGATGCACCCGAAAACCGGAAATCCACTTTACCGGTACCGTACTCGTACCAACAACGACCCCTTCAACCCATCCAATAACACAGGAAAATGGTCCTAAAGCACTTGTTTGGCGAATATGATAATATGGTGCCGCCGCCCCCTTTGCCCGGCCGCCAATGCTCAACACGTTTTGCTTACCCCACCTGATTTCCGTCAGACATACCGGTACGAGTAGTCTGTCTGACTCTGTCATGGCCCTCACGAACCTATAATATGATAAGTTAGCCCGACCAAGGACCAACAATGGTTCGAGGAACCATTGGATATGCGTCCCCCTCCTCCCTCCCCACCTACCGGTCGGTACTGGGCGTGCCGTACAACACCGCGCGCACGGCGCCTGATGGCTTCCCGATGGAGAACTCGGCCAACTTCTTCCAGTCTTACCATGCATTCCCGTAATCTCACCATACCCCTCCGGCTCCGTACTCGTACTCCAGTAATTCTCACTTCCCACTCCCACCGGGTGGGAAACACGAAAATACAAATTCCACCATCCTTTGCGAGCTCCCCCTCTCAAATCTCAGCTGAACCCTTCAAAAACCGTATCACACGGTCTCCTGTTTGGCCGATCTCCTTTCCTATGATAACTGCATAGCCCACACCCGAACACACACACGCACACACACGGTACCTGTACACACACACAACTCCGCCAAAGCCTTAAACCCGATTCTCTATGGAGATGTCGCGTAAGCGTTTCCATTCCGCACCTTGGGACCAATCTACGAGTAACCAGCGCTTATTTAGTGTACGGTGGTCTATCGGTATTTGAACTGTACTGTATAGTACCGGTACTCGCCAATACCAAAAAGTCTGCCCCTGAGGTATTGCCGCCAGTGACAACGCAGGAGTACAGTAACTGGCGGCCTTGACGATCGGAGAATCGCATTGATACAGTAGCTAGTGCTCATAAATCGGATATCTCTATAAAATAGGGCCGCTGTAGGTGTTGAGAGGTTATGAGGAGTAAGCTGGAATTCTCACAGGGTGTGACGGTCCGGTCGTTCATGCATCGGCAAATGTCGGGGACAAGGTTTTGATTTTGGCGGGTATGCCCTGCCCGCTCGCCATGCCCATCACCGATCCAATACCGGTACTCACCTTGGAACGCTTTGCCGGCCAGCGACCTTCCTCTCTTTCCTAGATTACTTCCTCCCTTCATACGCCATGCAACGCGTGGTAAACCTCACACGAACACCATACTTTGGGCGTCCGCGAAGGTGAAAAAAAGATATAAAAAAAAATCGAAAATAGATAACACAGCAGCAACAGCGCCTCCCTGCAGGTATTGCACATCGCCGGATAGCGGAGGAGTGCCGACTCCCTTTTTGCTGCCGTTGTTAGGTGGGTGGCGTAATAAGCTTATTTGAACTTCGTGAAGTGATTGACGTGGTTCACTGCCATTCTGTACTCGTAATTTACTCTACCAAGACGGATTTCCGTCTCCTCGACAGAAGGGTGGTCTCCTCAGCTGGCCAGTGGCCACACACGCTGACTCACCATTTCGCCTAAGGTTTGGAAGAGCCCCCCCGTGTTTATAACGAGAGCTGGATCACTATTCTGTACTCCTGCGGAAGTGGTGATACCACCTCGTTGCTTAGAAGATCGAGCTTCACATCCATTATTTTCTGTACGTCTATTATGATGCTTTGCTAATATTAACACTGTACTCTATAAATGAAAGAAATTACCTCGAACGAGAGGATTTCTAGCCTTCTGCACTTCCTACCAACAAGTTAGGCGTCTTATATGATTCCCTGCTCTTTACGGATCGGGTTGTCGTCCATGATCCTGTTCATGTAAACCTCTACTTATTATGATATCTAATCTTAGTTGTACAGTACAGTCGTGTCTGAAAAGTCTACGTACCCCGCTTGGCAACGCTGCAACCACCGATCACCTCAACATCACTCCCCTACTATGGCACTACTACCACACTCCCAAACCCCAGAGAAGACCAGAAGAAGGAAATATATGCCCTATATAAACATACTGATATGGGGTATCATATCTGAAGCATACTTTGTTTCTGCCTAGGCTGATTTATAGTGACAGGATGCAAAAGTCTGGTGATACTATTATGGCATGCAGGTCCAATGGTAGGTTCGGAGGAGGGGTGTTGACCATGAATTTTTTACTGTTTTCAGGAGGTCTGTCTGCAGGAGAGGTCTGTGCATCCATATGTATAACAGTAACAAGAGCAACAATAACTCCATTTTTATCAAAGTAGTAGATATTTAGAGTAATAATATGCCAAACACTATTTCTCAGACTTTTTTGTTACTTATTTATATCCAAGTAAGCTACTATGATTTTCAAGCCACTTTTAATTATTTTTTTTATACTTACTCTATAGAAATAATTGACTTTGTATATAATACTACTATATACTAGTATTAGAATATTTCTACCTAATCTTTTAACTATTAAATTCTTTCAGCCTAATTTTTTTGCAAATATAACCTATAAGAGAAAAATTAATACCATTTGGTTTAAGTACTAAGATTGTCTTATTCATAAAGGTATTAGTCATATGTTATAAGCTAGGTATCTCTATTAAATCAAGTAGTATTATAAGAAAGATTTATCATATTGCATTAGTACTAAAAATATAACTAGTAATCTATTTAAAGTATTTGTCCAACGGTCTATATTTAGTATAAAATTCTAGTATCCTTGAATTTTCTTCCTTGTTGCAAGTATAATTTAACTGTATTCACAGATCAATAGATTTGTTACAAAAGCTTATCTCAATAAAAACTTATATGCTAAGTATAAATTGCTAATAAAATCTTGAAAAAAAAAAGAACTACTAATAGCACTAAACAGGATACTGGCATTAACAAACTAGTAAAATAGTTTGTATTTATCTTGATGCCATATATTATCAGGTATATCATATTTAAAATATGAGTTAACTACTTGATTTCCACTTCTTTCTCACTTTTATGTAGCTGTTGTCTGACTTGTAGTGTCTCTTAATACTTGTTGAAATGTTCCTAATATAATATTACCAGCTCAGAATAACCTGAAAGCTAAAAGTAATTATTAATTATCAATCATGATAGAAGATACCTACTAGTATGAACTATCCAATAAATCACTCAAGCTTAAGCTATTCTTATCTACTTGCTCTTACTCTAAAAGCTTAAGATATGCTTCACTCAATAGATTTGTTAGGCCACAGCCAATAATTAGATGTTGTTGATGGTTTTCTACCCTTCCTCCTTTTACTTCTTTACCACATGATTTGTATATTGTAACATACTTTATGATTTCTTACTGGTAAACTCACTTCTTATAAAGTAAGTGGAGTATCACCATTCTCGTGGCATTGTACAATATAATTATGATAGTGCTGAGGGCTTAGAATAGCAAAAGGATTGTGCTGAAGTCTATAAGTGAGTGGGGTGTACCATGTTATGCTTACCTCCTTGTAGGGTACCGTAGTGGTATGATAGACAACTAGGATTCACCATTCCTGACAATAGGATTGTGCCATGCCGGGCACAACGGCATGGCACAAGGCACTTCAAGTGCCAACAACGCTAGGTATCACACCTGGATCCTATGGAAGTACCGGTAGTCAATACGAGTGCAGGGTCCTAAAAACACGATACTTCACCCCCAAGAACCGAAGGATGTTTGGGCAGTTGTTCTTCCCAAATTACTTGCAAACCATTGATCTACAGTACCTAGTGCAGCCCACAGCCTTGTGCTTTATTTATGTTGTTTTGATCGCACCGGGACTATCTCTTGGAGTAAAAATAACGCGCAATGCCGGTATCATCCTATTTGACACGTCGCGAGGATATCCAAGTTTGCCCCCACAGACATTGCAGGGCGTTCCTCGCCAAATAAATGATACCGCACACTCTACAGCAACCAGACCGCGCGCTCCGTGGCCTATGTGTACGTTACAAAGGCTCGTAAACAAAAGGGAGCAAAAGGTAAACACGCCGAGTTCAGCCTTAGCATGACATCCTCTTGCCACTCGCTATGCATGGCACATGGTAGGAGTAAGGAGGGAGTAGCCTGGACTTACAAGTTACAAGTATCATACCCCTATAATACCCGAAACATACCACAACAACTTAACAAGAACCGGATGGCTCCCGCCATATGGCACAAACCGAAAAAGATACCGGTATCCCGCATCACGCCACACTATTTTGAGTGTTCGTACTATACACTACGGGTGCAGGAGGATTCAGAAAAGGGCTTACTGTATTCTCGAGCAACGTGGAGCTATGATTTCAGCCACTGTTACCGGTATTTGTTTGTGAGACATCCTTGGAGGCCTTCCGAAACCCGTTTTGCCGCGTGCAAACCAACTAAACTTACAAGTATTGCGAGTTGGGGAAACGTAGTTATTGTGTGTCATGATTTGTCACTCGAAACTAGTTTACGCGTCCGAGGATGCCGTTCTGCGAAGGTTGCAAATACTTGTAGATTGCTGGGCACCACGATTCGCAGGGAACCGGGGAGGTATCATACGGTACCGGTATTGCTATTCGATTGCGTTATTCATGGATTTTGGTCGATCATACAGCAACAACCTCGTATCATACAGGTACAGTCACACCCCGCTATCCCGGATCTCGATAATCCGGATACCTCGCTGTCCCGTATGAATCTCGGTGAACTCTGAATTTCTTTCCACCAAAACCTCACACGTTGTCCCGGATCCCTCGCTGTACCGGACAAATTCTTCGGATTTTGGCCGTCCGGGATAGCATAACCTTATTTTCATTCACACTACACTAATCTACTTAAAGACACTAAGCGAAGTGCGACTGTACTCACCCCCTGATGATACAATAGCAGGAATTGAATCAGGGCTGTCACTTTTCTCTTGGCTCCCCCCTCCCTTCTTCCCTTACTTTTTGTTTCGGAATGTTTCGTCGAATCTCAGGCGGTCGGGGGTTAGCTTTCCATGAACACATTTTGGTGACGGCTAGTCTGGAGGATATCTCCCTTCGAATATGTTCTGCTGGTCGCGGAAAGTGGGCCATGAAGCGGTATGCTTCTCCTTATGATGGACTGAGTGATTCGGACCCAGCGACGAATTGTGAGGGTGACTTTGAAATGAGATTCGTTGCACGGAGCCTTCCGGGAGGTTACTGTGTCTGTGTTTTCAATCTCCACCACTTGTACCGTAGGGCGAGCTTTACTGGCGGGGGAAGCCACGTCTTTGCTTGATGCAGGATCACTGTGGAGTAGCTTAGGCTGTGACTGAAAATGGTTCCCGTCACTGCATCGCCGCTACTTTCTCCGACTCGTACAGAAGCATGCCGCGCTAGTTAACACTCACCTTGGCGTGTCATCCCTAACCCTATCCTCCACCGCCGACTTCCCCTGTGGTTGCTCGCACTCCTTCTCGACGGTTTTCATTCTCCTTCCCTTCCCTCCTGTTTCCCCCCCACACTCACTCGGATTCTCTTCATCCCTCCCCCGGTTACCCCTTTCTGCAGTTTGCTCTTTACCTCTCAGCCTCACAATCTTCACTGTTAGTTCTCTTCTTGCTGCCTTTTCGCTTCTCTATTTGCTATCCACGCACCCTATTTTCAGCTGGCCTGTCTTGCAAACAAACTTCCTAGTCTACGGAGGTCTCGTTGTCAGCAAGCGACCCTGCCGCTCCCCACAACCTCTTATATAACCCTTTTATTTTAGCTTTGGCATCGTCTTCAAAAGAGGATTCCAGGTTTCTATCCTTTCCCCTTATCTAAAGCTATGTCTCTTCAACAAACCTACTCGAGGTTTCTCGCCTCTCCCTCGGTAGAGGCTTTTTCCGCTTCGCCTTCAATGCATTATATTACTACCCTTATCACACTTAGCTCCACGGAGACGATTATGAGGTACCTCAAACGTGAGCCCAGCCTTCTTAAGAAGCGTGTGGAAAAGGTCCTTTCGGCTGTTGAAACTTCTGATCGCTTGGTTCTCGAGGTCGAGACCGAGTTGGAACTCGTCAAGAATGGTGGAAACTATCTCCCAGCAATGGATGATAATTTCTTGGCTGATCAAGTTGTCGCATTTCCAATTGTAAGTAGAAACCCCCTGTCTTGGTAGCTTTGGCATTCCCGATCTGTCACTGCCGTTGCCATTTCGTCTCCAGTGTGGCTGACACAAGACTAACATTTTGTACCAGGTCCATTTCGTACATTTTGAAAATGGGCTTATCAAACAAATCCGCATTCACTGGGACCAGTCTAACGTTCTCAAACAACTTGGGGTTATTGGCCGTAATGGAAGGAATTGGCCTATTAAAGACGGTCGTGAGCAATGCAGGCTCATTGCAACCTCGATGTCTGGTATCCCAGCCTCCATACCACCCTCATCAAGTAGCAACGGCGATGGTGTCCAGACCACGCGAAGCAGAGGTGGTTCGAACAGTAGCAAGATTGATCATCCTACTCGGGATCCCCATGCTAGTCTTGCTCTCTTCACCCCGCATGAATCTGATGATGAGCGCCAGACGATTGATCACCCTGCAGTCTCCCCCCGTAATTCTGCAAAGCCCCCTTCCCGTGATCTTGGGGAAATCCTTGCCGGAGGCCACTCTCGTGATACCGGCCCGCTTCCACCAAAGGCCCGTAGCAGTTTCGCCCCTAGCAGAACGTTTGAGATTGGTAATGGCGAACCAGTTGAGAAAAACTATCCAACTCAGAAGAAGGTTGAGCGCAAGGTTCCTGTTGACTCGAAAAAGTATGAACACTTTGAGTTTTCCGATGAGCCTGTGCCCTCTGCTTCACCTACCAAAACGCCTCTCTCCAAACGCAGTCAGCATGGGTCTTCTTGGGCATTTGAGGATTTCGTTACTCCGGAGAAGAAACCTCTAAAGCTCCGTAAGGACGATGTGAGACACTTTGGATGGACCGAAGAAGATGGGCAACCGGAAACTCAGCCTATCAGAAATAAGAACTTTGGCTCTCTGTCTCGCCAGAACACCGAAACCCACTTCACAATCAAAGATGAAGATACCCCGGAGCCCCGCTCAAAGGTTTCCGCCGCTCCTATCCCAGATAAGCGTGGTAATGTCTCCCAATTTGAAATCACCGACAATTCTCCTGCAGGTAGTCATGCAGCAAGACAAAAAGAACCTACAGCCAGCCGCAAGGCTGCCGTGAGGCAGATGAATGCTCATTGGGGCGAACACGAGAGTGCCGATGAGGATGATTTCTTTGCCGGATTTGGTGGGGAGGCTAAGCCTATGGGAATCAGGATCGCTGGTGACGGAATGGGTATTAGGAAGAGCACTGGGAGGAGCTGGGCGTACGATGAGCAAACTTCCGAGAAGCCGCAAGAATCCACTATCAGAATCGCTGGTGACGGTATTGGTACGGCAAAGGCGGTTGGCAGACAGTGGCAATATGATGACCCCAATGAAGAGCGCAGAGAGAGACGATAGAGCTCCAAAGCCAACCGGGGATTACCGAAACTGCTAGCCCAAGGTGCTGAGGAGCTGGGGCGGTTCATCCTAATGTCTGTTGAAATGCTTTAACGATCATTGCAATGTCAGAAATAGCGAAGATACTGCCCCGGTGGTTGTCATTTTTCATTTTTTTTCCTCTGGGAATTTTAGTGGCGGTGCTCGACTTTGGGGAGTCTTGTTTTCGGAGGGCCCCTGGCCATCAATTGCCATTTACACCTGTATTGCTTATACCCCCTTCCTGGCCCCATGTTATGTCCCTTTTTTCGATTTTGGATTTTTTTTCTTTCTCGATCCACAGAGCTAGGCCTGCCGCTCGCCAAATAACAAAATTCTTTTTTTCATCCATTGTCACTGTATTTTTCACTTTTTTTACTCAGGGGGGTTGACCATTTATAGTCAGTTCAAATGGCGAGGAGTTTCTGTAGTTGGGTAGCACATCAAGACAAAAATTGTTTCCTTTCATTATGCGGATTTCCGGCTTTCACATTTTATGTGCAGTTTTTCTTCCATTTAAACCCGAGTGTGTGTGCTGTGCACTATCTCTATTATACATTGTGCCATTTCCTTGCAAACTGATTAAGCCGGGCTTTCTATACAGAGGCGCTACCTGCATGCTGGATCGTAACCACTGTTTCCTTTCAACAGCAATATCAGATTAAACACCCTCATTCAGGGTTGTAAAAAAAAAGTGAGTGAGTGGTGAGCCATAATTCTTAAATGCCTTTACCTCCTTCCCCCAGTTTTATTCGCAAAAGTGAGCACCGAACTCTTCGTCCCTTCCCTTCCTCATCATAGTGTACATGAATAGAACTAAGTCTACCCTTTCCCCCAAGCGCTCTTCATACTTTCTAGGTATCCATCCTTCCGTCCAGGAAAGCCTATGCCAACCTAAACCGTCACCTCCTGTGCCGGGGGCGATACAGGAGGTAGACTTTCTAAAAGCTCCGGCCGATTCTGTGCCATAACCCGTCCAATATACTCTAAGTCTGGATCCGACAACTGCGGCGGACCCAGCGCCTTCCTCTCCTTCCTCAACTTCCGATTAAGCTCTTGCACAGCTGTCAGTATTTGTTTTCCGTCCTTGGCCTTCTGTGCTGCATCTTTGGCCTCCTGCTTCGCGACCCATGCGGGGTCATGACGGGTCCTGAATTTGGAGTACTTATTCCTGAGCTCATCGATGACCTCCAGTGGGAATGGCGGGACGAGCAGTGTGGGGAAGTAGCTGTGCATCTCCACATCCATTATCCGTGTGTCGCCGGGGTAGTCAACGTATTTCGGTTTCTCCTTTGGTGGCCAAGGGATCACTACGCCTTCCATTCCCGGCACGAGGCGTCTCCAGGAAGAGGTTCCGGTCTTGTTGTGCCATATTTTGGACATTTCGATGTTTGCTATTATCGTATCGCGGAGGGCGCCCGTGGAGGGGTCGGGGAGGGGATAGACGAGGCGGACATCGTGGTAGCTTACCGGGAGCTCGGAATAGTAGATCCTCTGTTGCTTGGTATCTAATTGAAATACTGCATCTGGGATTTTCATCGGTGCCTAACTCCACCCATCCACCCATTCGTTAGCCCTCCCCCCATCTGTGAGAGAAACTCAAACCAACCATATTAATCCCCTGAACCGTCAGCGTGGCCGTGGCCTTATCCACGCTTTTGACGACCCCGATTTTATGCCTGTCCGCCCCGGCTAAGACAACGACCCTATCGCCCGGCACAATGTTCCAATGTTCGACCCGCTCTTCCTTCCGGATTGGCAACGGCCGTGCCCGTTCGCCCACGACCACGCTCATCTCGTCCGCTTCCGCCGACGTCATCGCCCGCCGTGGTGCCAGCGGCCCCAGCATACGGTCCTCTTTCGCCTCCCGTCGCGACTGCTTCTGCTCCGTGCGCGCGACACGCTGGATCTGTGTGCGGATTCCCATAGCCTCTTTTATCCGCATGCGTTTGTTGTGCTCCCGCACTCGGGCCAGCTTACGCATCGCTTGGTTGCGCGCGCGGATTGCGCGGGAGGTGGCTTTTAGCATTGTTTTCGTTTCTTGATGTAGGTTGTAGCGGTGATCGGATGGAGGAGGAGGTTCTGGTGCTGAGTTTGGTGCCGGAAAATTGGTCGAGGGGGAAAAATATAGTGGGGAGGGCTTGCGGCGGGTAACTTTTGGTGGGGGTGCTACCACCCCGTTACGCACAGTATGATAGGAGGGATGGAATGGGGGGATGCAAAATGCTCTGAGGAAGGAATGTCTCTTTTTGCTTCCTGGAAGACGGGGGCTTTCCCGGGTATATTCTGTTCCGGGCATAGACTATGTTTTGCATTGCAATTGGTGGTATCTCGGGTTTGCTGTCGGTTTTCATGGGAAATCACTCGCTGATCATGATGACCTCTCCTGGAAAAGGATTTTTCCGTGAGCTTAAAAGGCTATTACCAACATCCACGAGTAACTTTTACAGTTTTTTAGTCAATTTCGGAGGGGCAATTGTTTTAGTTCTAACGGTAATATCATGCTTTTACTCACTTTAGTGATTTATTGTCTGTCAATCGTTGAAAAAGCCAAGTCAATTCTATCCCTAACCCTTGATGATTACCGATTAGATTAGATGACAGCAGACAAGACCACAGGAGCTCACTGCGTTCCGAGAAAGTCTGCACCAGTAACACCACCATAAACCCTCAACCTTCGTTTACACACACAATTCCGCAAACTCCCCAGCAGCCGACCGAGCAATGGGTGACCCCCGAGCCGAAGCGGCTCTACTAAAGCATTACCGGCTCCAGGACCCCTTTCCCGAAGCCTGGTCTGACCCAATCGAAGAGGCTCAAATCATCCAGCGGAAGCAGTCCCGTGCATCGACCTCCCGCTATTCCATCCTTCAAGAGGAGGGGACATCCGCGTCTCTAAAGGGTCTCGTGGGTGGCGATGCGTATTCTGCTGGGGTAATACCCGAAGACGAACCAGACCCACTGGGGACGGTTGGCTCGGTCGTGCGTGTGCTTGGGAAGAGGGGACTACCGGTGAGGGATAATGTGCGGTTACGTTAGTTTCTCTTTGCTCCTTTTGCTAGTCGGGCTCTAACTGTGGTGATGCATGATAGGTAATCGTTACCTCGTATCTTCAAAGACATTCTCGCCAACTGCTTTCCTGCGCGACGTTCATGCCAATACCCCGTCTCCGACTTTGCAGCAGGGTCTTAATAATCTGAGTACTTCCATCGCACAGAAATCAGGTTCTCTTAAGCTTTTAGTCGAGTCGAACTTTGATCGTTTCGTCGCTGCGAAGGGCACTATCGAGGGTGTTTACAAAGAGATGAAGGAGAACTCGTTCCTAGACAAGGACAGGGAGAGCGAATGGGGTGTTGGGAGAATCAGGGGTTATCTGAACGACGCTGGGGTGAAGGCGGATGAGTTATTCGGTCCGGCGATGAGAGGTCGGGGGAGAGAGGAGGGATTGAGATTGGCTCTGGTTGTGCTGGAGAAGCATAGAGTTATGCTTGAGATGCCAGGTAGTTTGTCGGAGTGTATTAAACGGAAGGATTATGAATCTTTGATAGAGGAGTACCAGAAAGCTCGGAGCTTCCTCGGGGAGTCTAGGAAGCTTGTTCCCGCTGGCGGTGTTGCGCCTATTAAGGAAGACCATGTTCATCAATTGGTCATTGCGGAGACTATGTGGGCGGAGGTCACGATTGCAATTGAGGACTTCAAGAGAGACACGTGGAAGCGACTGGTTGAGTGCCCGACCGAAGGAAATTTACATATGGAGCTTATCGGTATTCTGCTCGAGCTGGGTGTTGATGATAACCCTGTTTGGCTTTGGCTTATTAGCCGCTATGATTATCTCAAGAATAGGATTGTGACTATTTTTGAGAGGTCAAGGGTGGAGATAGAAGGTTTGTTACTATGCTCCATATGTAAGGAAGTCGTTCTGAAAGTTTTATCTCTTTCAAGTTCTTCGCCGCAAGATCGCGGAAGCTCCATCGCCGTCACCAAAGTCTGTTGCGGGTCACCTCCGGTCACCTTCCCGGCGAGCTCATGTTGATTCTTCAAAATCCCTAGACACCCAACTAATAATATCCTTCTGGGAGTTGGTGTACTCTTCCCTGTCGGCCCTCCTGTCACCTTCTTCCGGACTTGTAGGAGAACTTTTATCATTTCAAAAGACCACGCAATCCTTCATTGACGGTGACAACCTCCTTCCCGTTGGCATCGATGATCAATCCCGCAAGCACCATCGTATTGACCCTTACGATGTCAGGAAACTTCAGGAAGGGATCTGCGAATTGGCTATAATGATTAGGGATTGTCTTACCAAATTTTACACGGAACCACCCGTAGAGGACATCAGTTCCATGTATTCCCCAATCCCAGCAACCCCCTTGTCTGCAAACGCCCCCGGGCAGGATCCCAACTTCCCACCGCCAGGCCCTTCCGCGCCGGGGGCACAGGCTCAAAAGGGCGAGGATGAGGCTTACGCCTTTATACCTCCGGGGACAAATAGTTTGAGCGGAATGCACTACATGGGCAAGATACTGGTGCTCACGGGAAATGCATCTGTGGCGTTATGCGAGATGGTTGGCCGTTTTGGGCGAACGGGCATTGCTGATCAGTTCCGAGCGATGGTCTCCGGGAGTCGAGAACGGGCGGTTTTGGCGGTGTGTGCGGCTTGGTTGAGAGACGCTGGGAATTGCAAGCTCTTGGAGGATTGGACGAGAGCAGGTGATAATAGGGATGTTACGAGAATGCCTGGACTTTTTGGAGCATTCGAGAGGGAAGTCATCAGCGGTATGCAAGCTATCGTATACTTGGATAAGGTTGTGAGGAGTGATGGTAGCGTTATCGTGTGTGCACCAGTTCCCGCTCTCCTCGCATTGTTTGTTGACGCGATTTCTACAGCCTCCGCCGTCCGCCAAACTTCTCTCACACGTCCGCGCACAGTTTGTGAGGTCACTTTATAAGTCACTTCAGGGCATGGTTGAGAATGCCAAAAAGCCACTTGACTTGGATGCCTGGGATGAGGATCAGACAGATCTTGCAAGTCCCGTAACCAGTGTTGCGCCGAGGAACCTGACGGCGTATTCCGTCGACTCGAAGGATAAAAATGTCCGAATCTTGTTGACGTTAAGCAATCTTCAATTGCTCAGGAACGACGTAGTGCCTGAGTTAATAGGCGTTTTTGAAAACGCATTTTCGGTCAAGTTGACTGATGAGAGCAAGGTACTCCTCCTTATTAAAACCATGGAGTGCAACGCTAAAAGTTGCCCGAACAGACAATCCGAGACGCCCAATCCCAAATCGATGCCCAGCTCTTCGAAGAATACACCAAACCCCTCGTATCTTCTCTATCAGACACCATCCGCCTCGGTGTCCTCTCCCCCACCTGGCCCCCCCCACCGGGGAAACTCGCAACCTCCGTGCGCCCATACATCTACACAGCCCTGCTATCCCTGGTCCTCGTCCACTCGCAAATCACCACCACAGCGCCATCACTAACACACCCCATCCTCTCATACCTCCTAGAGACCGTATCCGAGGAACTCCTTGAAGCCTTCAAGCAACGCCGCAAGTTCTCCCTTGGCGAGCTCCTCCAGGCCGCTCTAGACGTGGAGTTTGTCAATCAGACTCTGAGTCAGTACAATACACCGCGCGCGTCGGAGCTCCAGCAGGGGGTTTATGTCGAGCTGGATCGTGGCAGTGATGCGGAAGCTAGGTTGGGGCTGAGGGAGGGATTGGGCGGGATGAAGAAGATTTTGGGGGAACTGAGGGGGGGATCGAGAGCTGAGTTGTGGGTTTCCCTTACCGTTCCCATGTTTATCAAATTTGGCAAGATGAGCCGGCTAATTCATGGTGGTGGTGTAGTCTGTGTTTTAGGGCGAAAAAGAGCTCGTCTAAGAAGGCAGCGGCGAATGCTGAGGGGTAGAAGTGGGTTTTGTACAGTAGTGTTTTGTAGTGGATCTACTGCTGCTGATAAAGTGTTGGGGCGTTTTGGGATGCTATCTCGTAAACCAATCTGCTTTTTTTTTATTATATATATTTGTAGGTTGAGTATATGATATCTAAGTCTGTAATACGTGTGAACATTTTTTCATTCATTCTTTTCTTTTTCCTCTCTTGGTAGAGATGTTCCGAGCCATTGGCGGTATTCTTTTAGCTCACTCCACGATCCTTTCACCGCCCCAACGCACAAGAATATCGCACAACACCATGAGCTATTCATGATATGCACCGTACCCTCCGTACGATACCCGGCGATCGCAGCGCTATGCCCGAGCGCAGTACTACCAGTATATACAGCACAGTATATAGATAGAAACACTGACAAACCAACCCAGCGCGATTCACGTCAAACTATTGTGATATAATTTACTTGGAGCGTTCCACACCCCGAACCCACCACACCATCCAACATCTTATCTATTTGCTCCTTCCTCCCTTCCTTCCCTCCCTCCCTTTTTCTTTCTTTCTTTCTTCCTTTCCTTCTTTCCTTCTTTCCTGCTTTCTTTTATACAACGCGAGTTCAATTCTTTAAAGAGTGCTCTAGTTCAGATATATCATACAGTCCAGTACTTGTAACACAAATTTTACCCTATTGAAAGTTTGCCTGTCGCATCAAATTATATATAACAGCTGTCTTATGATATGGTATGGTATGGTAATATCGTAGCTATTGTAACGAGAGCAAGAAAAAAAGAAAAAAAGAAAAGGTACTGTACAATGTATGTCTCGTAAATTCCTAAAAATAAAAAATAAAAAAAGAACGCTTCTCCATTAATAAATAATAATAATATTATTATAATTATTATAAAAAGAATATCTATCCACCGAGTGATACTTCATGCGCGGGGAAGTTGCTGACGATGTTTTTTTCATTTTTTTCACTTTTTTTTTTTAGTGTTTGAATACCGGTTATAAATAGAGTGTTATACGGAATAAGCTTTTACCGTAGGGAGATGTATATATATCATATATATAAAAATACCGGAAAAAAGGGGGGGGTGTTTTTTTTCTTTTTTTTCCTTTATTATACCTTTGACTTTCAATGTTGAGTTAATCCTGTTTTTCCCTTCCTTCCTATGTTTTATTTTCAATTCAGGCACGTTATCGTACCTGCACCGGTACGAACTTCCCACAATAGCGAAAGTTACTTGCGAATGCCGACACTCAAGGTTTTTTTATTTTTTTATTATTTTTAATAGTGAATTTTTTTACCGTACTGTACTGTACTAGTACTAACTACCGGTAGTACGTTGCGTGTTGTAATTACCGTATCGATCAAAATGGGAAATATGATACTACTGTAGTACCCTGAGACTTATTCCACCGTTCGAATCCGAGATACATACCGTGAGTTGGATGATGATTCACGGGTTGGGTCCGGTGTAGACTGGCTAGAATGGAATCTTTCGATTTTCTCTCTTTATCGCGTCGTGTACTGTACAGTGTCAGATGAGTTCTGGAATAAGTTATGATACGGGAGAGATTCCGAGAAAACGGTGGACCTTGTGGGATATTACGGTGCGGGCAATCTGAACATCTGTGCCGTGTACTAGTATCGTAGATGTGACACGGTGTAATGCGATATCGAGAAATGGTATGATATCGTGGCATCATACCATTAAGACCAAAAATGATGGGCAGGTCAGGTCGGGTGTTTTGTAAATTTCCGTGGGATACGTGCGAGGGTTGCGTAAAACGTCCCAAGAAAAACTATAATAGAAGAAGGAAAAAAAGAAAAAAAACAACCTCCCACCCCTACCGTATTTACTAGAATATCATACTCGGGCGTGTCAATAAAGAGGGAGAAAGAGAAAGAGAGAGAAACATAGCCCTCTAGCTCGTCTCCAGAAATTTGTATGATACGGGATCACCAGGAATAGTACTCCCATTTTCAACAGATTATTATATACCCGTGTATATGTCCTCGAGTACAGTATGTCGTATCGGTTTAACAATGATACGTACGACACAACCAACTTTTCTATACAACCACTCCAACCCCCCTCCCCCCCAGAACCAATTCCCCAATAACTAGTTGCGAATAGAAGAGAGTAGCGCTGATCAACAGCAGTGGGTTAAATATGTGGTAATAAATTTGCCAAGGTGCATATTGGGTTAGTATGGACGTAAATCTACAATATCATTGGGGGGGGGGGGGTGACCGGTATGGCAGGCAATTGGGAGTTAATGATACTCGTAGAAGATCTGCCCTTTTGCCCCCCCCCCCCCTCCGAACTTGAAAGCTCGAAGCAATGCCTTGGACTAGATTACCATCATAAGTGGTGGGGCGCTGTATTGTATATATGACAGCATCCCGCTCTCATCCACTCACCAATGCAATGGTATCATACCAGATAGTCTTCGGCGGCACAATACATCTATAATCGGTAACCCACCGCCAAATTCTCTCTTCCTTTCCACTGCCACGCCTACTTACCCATGTCTCCTGATCTCTAATATTCGGGATATGATCGTTTCTTTACGCATAAAGGGATTTTACCGTTAGATATCAGTAATCAGCGTTTACAATTTTTCTTTCTCCCTAGGGATGCACAACATCTGCTCTAACAATGCATTCAAGGCTTAGCGATAGAAAAAAATGTGTTTGTCCCGGCTGCAGTACTACGTGAAATACCTCGCCGGCACAGCCAGTTAAGTTTCCCAAGAACCAATCAACCCCTGTGAAAATTAGTAGGTATCACAAGAGCCCAGCCCAATTTCCCTTCCACAGTGAGTGTAATGTTGAACAATCCATACGTCCGTCATGTAGGGCACGAATCCTACCCGCGGGGGATGGGAGGGAGACAGAAGACATTAGTCTTCCTTGAAATAGCGTGATGCAAATCAGGCCAGCTATCCTGCGTGGCGGTACCAGTAGATTCCCATGCTAGGTTATATACGGTGTGGGATCCGCGATCGGCAGGAGAGCAGAAGAAAAATGGTGAGAAACGGCCCTGTCCCCCTTGATTCGGAGAAAGCAACTGCAATCTCTGAATGCCATAAAGGCTCTCTATCACGATATACCAGGGCAGAACCCACTACCAACCCCTAGGATATCCATTCAAGCTACCTATACGAATGAGCAAACCAAAGAGGGCCGGGGGAGGGCGGATCTGAATTTGCTGGAAATCTTTCCGGAGGTTTGGTTTGATGGAGTACCGGTAGATGGCTCGGAGGCCGCGTGAGTTGCATCAATCGCAAGCGTGCTTAGTAAAGTTACTCACGGGGCATACGGTACCCACACATTCCGCAAGAAGCTCCTGAAGAATGTTAGAGAAGATGCCGTAAGTAAAAGGACACACAATTTAATGCCCAACATATTTCATAGTGAAATGCCGGACGTGCGGCGCAAGACAAGGCACCAAACGCAACACAACCACCCCACGGTAGGAACCCGGGAAACCCGAAAACCCGAAAACCAAATTCGCTAGCACCCATACGTCGCCCCTATTCCCAGGAAACCGTAACATTAGAAAACATTCCCGAGTGACCCGCTATGACCATCTTACGCCGAACTCACCGCACAACCACTCACTCGCAAAAAGTGCAACAGGAGTGAACCCCCACCCCAGACGAACCCAATCGACAGATAGAAACCCCCAAGACGAGGCAATCCTTCATTCCTCTCGACAGAGCCGCCCAACCTCCCTCAACCCAACTCCCCTTCCAGTCTATAGTATGATAGTAAGCTTCTCACGTCATCCCGCAGCATTACGAGAGCCCGCCTGCCAGTCCGGAAGCCCAGCCGCCCGCTCTCCTCCCGCCCCGCGAAGCCCGGTGTCTACCATGCGGTACAAACTCCCTCATCTTAAACACGGGACTTTATTTAACCCCGAGGAGGACAAGGACAAAAGGCCCACCCATTCCCCCCCTGCTTTGGTCCAATCACCCGATCACAACATTCCTATGCCAGGGGTATGCTGACCTCGACCAACAAGAGCTGTAAAGGGAGCATGATAGACAATATATGTCATAAGCTGAGCGTGATTCACGTCGATCACTGTCTAACCGAGCCGTCAAAACGACAGTTCGCTCGGCCATTGAGTAATGGTAGCTCAGACCATGGATATTTTGCCGGTACAAGTACCTCCCCCACAAACTAAAACCAAACCAGTAAACTCTCCACCAGTGATCGCTCCCCCTCCACCCGGCGCTATCCGGAAGACACACACACACACACACCACTGCCGAGCCCTTCTGACACTATGGTATCCATGGCTGGCTACTCGAGCACTCGTACGGTGTGAGTAGAGGACAAAAGCGCCCCGGCCGCTCGCCCGTACAGGTAGGACTACCGATAGCCTTGGGCCGTGTAGCGGAACCGAGCGCCATGGTACTTGTACCGTAGCAGCCGGGGCGGAGAGAATGGCAGATCATACCAGTTCAAGTAAATGGCGAAATCCCCGTTTCTCGGTTGGTCCGTCTGTCTGCATGTCTCTCCCCTTCCTTTTTTTTCGTGGCATTCATCAAGGCAGACGAGCTCAACTGAATAAGCGATCCTTGCACGGAAGAGGAGGAGACGGTGGAGGCGGAGGTGGAGGTGGAGGAGTGGGGGAGGCAAGAAACCCGTTTTCCATCAGTGCTTTTCTCATTCGGTTAATTCTTATCGGGGCTTGCTACCGTACTTGTACCAGTGCCGGGATGGCGTACGGTACGCGATAAGTCAGGTTAGGGTACGGTACTCGAGCACAGAAAGTAGGGTTGTAGATACATTTTTGGATATAATAATGATATTATGGTAACACATAATAATTTATGATAGTGGGTCCACTCATTGACCCAGTACTCGATTACGGTACTCGTACAGTAGCAGCACAGAAAAGAAAGGGAGAAAAACACACCAAAACTGTCCAAAAACAAACACGAGCGATCCCAGTTCACCATGTCAACCCCGTCACGAACTCCTTATGATTTTGATAGTATGATACCGAATTCTACAGTACCGTATCCGAGAACCAAGGAATCAACACTCTATCATACAGCTCGCACACCATCGGCAATAAAACCTGGGAACCTCCCTCCCTCCCGCAAGAGCCCAAAAACCCAATTTAAGCGCTCGGAATTTTATCCACAGCATACAGTGTAATATTGTGCCGGTATCATATCATATTCGTACGAGTTCACTAGGGCGCACAAAAACACGCCCGCTTCGAAAGAAAGATTCCCCCATTTCGGAACCACATTCCTCGCACGGCCTCGAAAAAAAAAACCCCCCTGCAACAATCTTTCCCAAATCTCGAAGTACCGGTACCCATCACAATACCGTACCCAACAGCCCCCGCAGCATCGAAAAATAGTCGTACCGGTACTGTACCTGTGGGCTAATGACTTGTCGGCCGTGATATAACCCTATCATATTATCATATCATACCAAAAGAAGAAGAAAAATCGGCTCTCATTCTTAGATCTTATCCAACGGCAGTTCCTTTCTCCCTGTAAAAACGCCCCGATACCACCTACAAAGTTTGGTGATATATATATCGGATGGTTGGTCGTGCATTTTAAGCCAAAAATGGTGGCATGCGATAGTCCTCTTTCCTACTTTGGAAAGGGAGGAAGGGTCTGAGGTTACGAGTGGAGTACCAACACTGTACTAGTACCAGTAGTACTTGTACCTAGTGCTAGTACGCCACGGGGAGGAGGTTCGTACGATAGCTGGGGCGGGCGGGATAAACGAGTGAATGACCAACGCTAGCTGTCTGCTGTTACGGCGGGCTCGAGTAAAGTTTCCTCGGGACATTTACATGCGGCAAATTTGCAGTATCTGGCA